TTTTGGCAGGACTTCTGTCGAATTATCGGCGTTAAGGTTAAGCTGTCGACTGCCTATCATAAGCAGACCGATGGGCAGACGGAAATCATGAACCGATACATCGATCAGAGACTGAGGCCTTTCGTATCCCATTATCAGGATAACTGGAGCGAACTCATCCCCATAATGGACCGCATGCAAATGACACTCCCCCACGCATCCATTGGCATGACCCCCTACCGACTCAAGTACGGAACCGATCCACGTACGAGTTGGGATTGGAACACCCCGAAAAGCACGAACCCCCGGGAGACCCTAAACCGAGAGGAAGCCAAGGCGGTTGCAGACCAAATGCATACTGCATGGGTCCATGCAAAGGAAAACATGGCAAAGGCACAAGAGGAAATGTCTAAGCACGTGAATCGATGCTGAAGGGCCATCGAGTGGGACGTAGGAGATAGAGTGTACCTATCGACCAAAAATTTAAAAAACTCTTGTCCTAGCCGCAAGCTGGGCCAACAATGGGTCGGACCATATATGGTGTTGGAACGGATTGGGCACGCATTTCGATTGGAACTACCTACCGGTTCTCAAATACACAATGTGTTCTCACCAGACATCCTCATGAAGGACCCGAACAACCCCCTACCTGGTCAGGATCCGCCTGAGCCTAGCAGCAAAGTGATAGATGGCGTAGAGGAATGGGAAGTGGAAAAGATCCCCACCGTAAGGCTCCGCCAGAAGCAACTACAATACCAGGTTAGTTGGGTCAGATACGATCCGGACCCAGAGTGGTACCCAGCGTCAAACTTCACGAACTCTCCCCATAAACTCAGAGAGTTTCATACGGAATACCCAGATTTACCAGGACCACCTCAAGAACTACTCGGAGGGGTTACGGTAGGGGAGATGGGAAAGGAACAAAACTACGATCACGGAGGAAAAGACAAAGTGGAAGAAACAGAGTCGTTACTGTCTGCGACTCTAAGCTAAAATACCCTCCGAGCCAGGGTGCACTCACCACCGTAACCCTTGTGGGAGCCACCTTTCCCAAACGTCTCACCGGCGTCACAACAAGCGGCTACCACCATGAGAGACGAAGGGTCGAAGTGACCCCACGTGAAGGGCCAGGCCCGAGTCCCCTCCGAGACAGGGTCTTCCCCCACCTAGGCCCCGTAGGCCGCCCCAACTTCCCCATCCTCCCCCTCCCTCCTTCTATCACCCCGAGTCGGAGCGACCGCGGGAGCGGCAGCGGTGGGCAGTTTGCCCACAGCAGCCACCAACTCCCCCAAGAGAGCAGGAATGCTCTCCTGTTCCGTCCGGAGACGGCGCAGCGACGACCGAATTTGCTGCCCAGAGTCAGCATCGAAACCACACCGAGTCACAAGGGGAATGGGGTCTACTCACGGCCAGCCCCAACTCGAGGGCAGCCCGAGTGGCGCGTGCCTCCTCGTAGAGGTCACGCTCCACCTCGGAGCAGAACTTTGGCATGCTCTGGGCGGCCAGTAGGGCCGCAAACTCTTCCCCAAGGAACCAGGGCAGCTTTCACCAAAGTCAGCAACGGCCAACCAAACCAAACACTGAACCCCACAAGAAAACCTACCGGGACGCAAGGCGAGTGCTGCGACGTGCAGTACCCACACTTTGAACTGGTCGGGGACCAGACGCAGTCGTGGGACTGGATCCCACGGGCTTTGGCCTGAAGGCAGCGCAAACAGAGCACACGGAAGGCGACAGTAAGAGCCCCGGAGGGGGTGGGAAGTGCCATCTTCAAATTTGGAATCTGTGATTCCGTCAGCCCAGCACAAGTTATCAACACCGCGCCAACGCGCTCTCATCACCTACTCGTTCTTGTGGATTGGATTTATACTATCCAATCTATCAGTATCAGAAACAAATGAACGGGGAGGGGCCACTTACTGGTCTCGGGTGGGAGGGTTGCTGGCGTTGTTGTTGTAAGGTAAAAACAAGAGGAAGTGGGCGAAGCGGAATACTCAAAACAATAAACTCTGAATCGGGCTAGCGCGGCCACTTCTTCTTTCACGTTTACGAAAATTCTACTCAATCGTGTAGCGGACACCTTCCGGTACTGTTTCGGACCCCAAGAACGAACGTGAGATGCAACAAAAGCAAACTCCAGTTTCGCATGCCACACGGACCCTAACGCAATACCACCTCGGGATGACTACTGTGGCAAACAAAGCACCTTCCCGACGCGCACGACAAACGAAGTTGTTCCGGACGCAATTACCAGCCAACATTATGATAACAAGAAACGCTCCGTTCACGGAGACGATTCAGAGACGTTGCAGACATGATACTAACCGCGTGCCTTGCGGACAAAGCACTCTCTCAGGAGGGGGGTAGTGTAAGGATGCCTTCTCGTCTCTCAGTAGTGTAATGATGCCTTCTCGTCTCTCATTCTAGGGAGTGGACTCTGGGTAGCTGCGGGGTCACGTGTGATCATTTGGGTGGGCTAACCGAGTCCGAACTGAGTCGGATGGGTTTCAGGTACTTGAGACAATCGACTCACGGGGTTCCCCCATCATCTTTTTTGTATCCTTCGTAGTAGACCTATACGATAGCATCCGTTTAGCCTCCGACTCGCACTCTCATATGCTATTACTGTGAGCTGGGTGCCCTGTGTCATTACATGGACGGATATCTTTAACAACTGATACTTGGTCTGCACGCAACTATTCTGAATACGCTGCAGTAACAGCACATTGGATCTCTGATAAGTGGCAGTTACGATGTACAGTCTTAGATGTTATTGAGCTACAAGAGCCAATTGTCATACTGACATTCATTGCACTCAGTTTGCTATCAAACTCAAGAGCAAACTTGGAAATCTCCTCCTCAAACCTACAAGTCACTATACATATTTTGGCTTATCACACCAACAACAAGAGCAATACTACTCAACGATTGCTACAACCATCTATGATTCATTACACGTCATCGCTCCTTAGTTACTGGGCCGATATTGCCACATAGCATATCTCTACAACCCTCTATGATTCATTACATGACATCACTCATACTACCACATGACATATATCTACCAACTAGAGGCCTAGGAGCATGAACGATAGCTCTAAAAGCTCCTACGAACCTCTATGATTGATTACATGTCATCGCTCTTTAGTTACCCACAAGATTGGTTAAGTTATGACATAATTTGTCTATGACATAATTTGTCTATGACATAATTTGTCTATGACATAATTTGTCTATAGGGGTACTCTGACCTTGGACCTCCTTTTACTTCCTATAGGCTACGAACCTAAGAGATGGTTCTATGGGATTCTCTTACGTCGACTACAGTTACCAAGCCTGGTAAGTCATGGAAAGTCTTGGAAAATGAGAGAACTACACTCCTTTAGCATAAATAGGATTGCCCTTTCCTTAAGAAAGGGCAAGCAGACAATACAGTAAATCGACTATCACATACTTCCACGTCTTTTCTAGCTTCCAAGCATTCATCTTGTTACTCCTTGTTTCTGAAATGTCAGTGAGGTGTTAACCTCTGACTTACCCCTGAGTTCCCAGACTCAACATTTGTTGCAACTTGTCTGAACCACTTCACTACATCATACACCTGATTGCTGCATTGTGGAATAGTCTAAGCTACGACCCTTTGGCTCTTTTTCCTAAGACAGTGTGTTGTCTTAGTAAATTCATCCCTTCCTTGGGTGGCTAGATTCTCACATCTGGTGCACCCACCATTACACCAATCCATTCTGGTGAATATCTTGCAGGGCAGTTAATAGCTGTTACAGACGACTATGGTATTACTCCTGCAGTTTTTACTATCACTCGTGATAACGCTTCTGCAAACACTACCGTACTCTCAGAATATGAGAACTTAGCATGCAAGAATGAAACTACATTACAGCAACTATGGGCATATACAACAAAAGAAGGCGATGTCAGATGTATTGGGCACATTATAAACCTTGCTGTTCAAGCTGCTTTAACACCGGCAGATGAGCCAAACGCATACCGCCTTGAGTATGGAGCTGCCTGAGTTCCATCACTACCAGAAAATGAGTCAGTAGCTGTTCTTAGCAAACTTCGACGTCAACCGACGACAATGGAAGGATGCCTAAAAAAGCAATGTGAAGCTGCAAATATTGAGTTTAAGAAGCTTAGCCTCAATATGCCAGTACGATGGAGCTCAACATATTATATGCTGCATTTAGCGTTAAGATTACAAGGTCCAATAACAGATCTCTGTGCATCTCAACAGCTTGATTTAAGGTGTTATTAGATTTTTTCTATATCTTTATACGCCCAACAGAGAAGCTACAATGACACAAAAGCTTGAAGTCTTGAAAGCTGGATATACAGAGAATAGCACAATATACGACGCTTGTTTAGCAGCATTAAAAAAGCTTAATGAGTATTATACACTTGCAACAAATCAACACCGGAGTCATTCAACTTTAGCTACAATATGCGACCCACGTTATAACTTTAACGTATTTGATATTATTTGGCCAAAAAGCATTCAAGACACGTGAAAAAGGCGGGCAAAAGCACAATGGCAAGACTGTTATTATAAATATTCAGGCAAGGCATTAGACATCCAAGCAGCAAAGGTTATGGAAAGTATCCAAGATGAGGAATTAGAAGATGAGAATTCTAAGAAGACAGAGTCTGATTCTGAGGATGAGCTATATGTCTCACAACGGCAGCCAGATTTAGATCCAGAATGGAAGCGCTGGATGAACGAGCCAACTCTTGGGCCTAAAATTGATATACTCAAGTTTTGGGCAAGTAAGCAATACCAATATCCAATACTTGCCGCAACTGCCAAAGATCATTTAGCAATTCCTGCTACATCAGCGGAATCTGAGCGAGTGTTTAGTGCAGGTGGCGATATTATTACAAAGGAACGGAACAGATTAGCACCATCTACACTACGATATCTTATATGTCTTAGGAATTGGGGCGTGGTATCAGCAGGTGAGGATTCAGAGGAAGATGAGGATGCATAGTTACTGTATTTCCATAGTCTATATAGCTATCAATCATGTTTTCATTTTTATACTCGAGTACTACTCTACTCGAGCCCAAAAAACAGTACTCTACTCGAAGATCTCTGAGTAACGTAAGTCGTGGCGTAACGCGGGGGATGGCGTAACGCGGTGGAAATTTGAAGAGAACACAACAAATCTGTAAATTTAACTACAATCAACGATAATACATGATCCACCATCACTCTTAGATTGTTCCCCTGCTTCTTCCTCAATATACTCATCAATTTCAATGTCTGAGGAGGCGTTCTTATCCTTTGTTTTGCGCTTTTTCTTACTTGGGTTATGTGTCGCCTTTTCCGCCTCCATCACCACATCACACAACTCTTGCATAGAAACATGAAAGTGACCCTTCAGAATAACCCTTTTCCCCTTCGTACGTACCGTACGTTGCTTTATAACTAATCGCAGGTTGTTGGCATCGAGTTGGTGGACAATGCTGCGTGCTCGAAGTTGCTCTGACGCAACTGTGAGTTTTTGGATGTACGTCCGCACTGGTGTTGACAGCACCCCACCACTATTAATCGTAGTTGTAAGAAGCGCATTTGCAGAGCGTAAGGTCATCCCATCTGGGGGGGAGCTGTTGATAAAGACTCGGTCAAAAATATCATACTGATGTGGTGTTTTTGGTCGGTCAGCCTCGACTGATGGTTCAGCATTGAGCAGCGTACGCAATGCTCGCTGGGGATTAAAAGGAAACAAGCCAGCGCCACGGTATGCTGACTCAATGTTCTGATGGTTGCATACATCAAGCCGTGCCTGGATGTATGCCTCCATCCATTCATACTTCTTATGCGCGCAAGTTGCGCTTGGTTGAGTGGGGAGAGCGCTGCTGTCAGACGCTTTTTTAGCGGGCCGAATATCGCAACATCCAGTGGTTGTAGTAAGTGCGATGTATGAGGGGGAAGTATCAGTAATACAATATGGTTCTGCATGCAATGCGCAATGAAACTCCCGCTAATGTGTGAGTCGTGGCCATCACATATAAGAAGCCGGTGCTGACCATCTGCTTTTGTACGTGTTGTTGGCTCGAAGATGCGTTTTAACCACTCCAACCCATGGAGGTTGCTTGTCCAGCCTTTCGTATTCGCAGAGAAGAACCACTGGTCGATGACTGCGGGCGGAATCCATGATTGGAGAAAGTTCTTGCCCTTAAAGATCCCGAGGGGTGGGAGGATGGTTCCATCTGCGCAGATGCACTCGACCATCGAAACCCATTCCTGACGGCCAGGATGCGCTTGATGCTTCGTACGAAGCGTTGAATCAAGTATAATTCGAGTAGATTCCATTGTCCCAATCGAAAATCCGGATTCATCCATGTTATATGTGTTCTCTTGCGTGATTCCAAACTCTTGAACCACCTTGGTGTACGCGTTAAACCATGCCGTAAGCACTGGTTTTGTTGCACCGTCCATGCGTACAGTTTCGATCCGTCGCCCAATAGCGACCTGTAGATGGGGATGTCGTTGTATGAATCGTGGTACCCAGTCGCGACCGAGGGAAAATCGTGGTTGGGGTAGAAGTAAGTTTGGCGTCGCGTCGTCAAAATTGAGTGACCGGTGCGACCGGAGTTCTTCAGCTATTTCCTTCAACAACTGATGCCCTGGAGAATAGCCGCTGATTGTTAGGTTTTTAATCCACTTTAGAAGTATCTGTTCTTGCGCGCCTGATAAATTCTGCTGTTTCTGGCGGGCTTGGGAGCGTGTCAAACCTCCATTGACGCGTCGCGTCACTGAACTCTTCGGCAGCCCCAGCACTTTCTCAGCGTGATATGCACTCTTATACTTCTTAGATTGGACGTCTAATACTGCCTGGGCTATTAAAGTTTCACGCTCAGCAACACCCAGGCTTTTACAGCGAACCATTGTTGAGTTATTCACAGTTATCAGAAGTCGGCGGGGTGAATTCCCCGCGTTGCGCCATCCCCCGCGTTACGCCACGACTTACGTTAGTACTCTGAGTAGTACTCGGGCAACACTGCTCCTCAATAGCCACTTTTCTTCCACAGAAACGAACAAGTCAAAATCGATCTAAGCTGGTTGAATGCTGCCGGACATCTTATGCTTATTTAGTAGATGCAATTTAATAATAATATTATCGTCAAGAGTTATACTTATCGAGGCCCACCGTATTGCGTGAGACGACGACAGCATTATGTGGATGACAGCAACGAGAAGATGACAGGAATGAGATGATGACAGGAACGAGAAGACGATAGGATTGATGAGACTAAAATGAAAGATCAAGCATTTGGAGGTCTTCGAGCAACCGACGTCTTCCATAGGACATATATGTAGTCGCAGATAAATTGAGAGGATCACTTCGTTCAGCTGGCAATTCGGTCGGGTACTGCATCTCCATTGAACATGAATGGGAGACTTATGGTAATCAAGCTACTGTACTTTCAATCTCGGAGTTATGAGGTAATAATAGGAGCACTCAGTCGTTACTATATATTTCGAGTCTCTAACTGGCTGTAGCCGCGGCCCATCTTCAGACCTTTGAGCTACACATGTAACACTTCCACAATGGCAACTCATCAATCCAATATCAATACCACGCATACCTAAACGACCACCCTACCCCTGAATAACCCACCCCTTCCCCAAAACCTTCTTCTGCACCACCTTCCTCGCCGGCAACGGCCAGCCCATATCATTCCTCCCCTCCGCCCTCAAATACGGCACAACCCAACACTCCTTCTCCAACCCCATCTTATCCAGCTGCTTCCCCTCCTTAATCGGCCTCCCATACTGCAACAACGGCGTTCCCTTCGCCAGCGCCGCAAGCTGCCCACCACTAACATCGACAAGCGCGTGCATCCTCGCTCTCGGCACACGCTCTGGAGTCGTCGCTGAGGGCGCTGCGCGCTGGAGATGCGAGTAGACGATGTACTCAGGGCATTCCTTGGGGGATCTGTGCGCTAGTGGTGAGGAGGGGTGGATGTATACAGCTTTATCCTCGTCGTCGCAGCGCGCGTGCGACGGGAAGAGGGTGAGATACTGGACCTCGATCGCACGACTCGGTTTCCGTCCCACAGGCGATGAAATCGGCGCTAGGTCCGCGCGAATGGCGACGTGGTCGATGAATCCCGCTGCAACCATCTGCTTCAGGGCCTTGATCTGCGTCACGCTCGGCGAGGGCAGTTTATCAACAAACGTCAGTCCCGCGAACGCAGGGATGTTGGTGCGCAGTAAATCCGTGATCTGGCGACGCAATTGCAGGATCTCCTTGAGCACCTTGTAGTGGACGTAATGCGCGCGACACCATGCTTCGGTAGGCTCGTGGGCGAATTCGCCGACGGCTTGGAGGAGCTTGATGGCGTCTGAGCGGTCGTCGAGGGAGCAGAAGGCGTGTTGGACGGCGTTGTATTTACGGCGTATCGCGTTGCGCGCGTCTTCCTCTAGGCGATCGGCTTGGGTGAAGTGGGAGTCCTCGTCATTCTCGTCTTTGGGGGTCAGGGCGGGAACAACCTGGTTCTCGGGGATGAAGATGTCTGCTGTGGAGAGACCGGCGACGAGGGCGATGGTGTAGGGGAGGCAGTCGTGGAGGTGTCCGATGAGGAGGATGCGGGCGAAGCGGGGAGAGAGGGGGAAGATGGACATTGTGGAGCCGACTTTGGTGATTTGGCCGGTGGGGGAGATGGCTGAGAGGTAGGTCAGGAGCCGCTCGGATGCGGCGAGGCTTGCTCTGTCGGGCGGGGTGGGGAAGGGGAAGTTGACGACGTGTTGGAGATTCATCGCCTTGAGCTGTAATACCACTCCCTCGATTGGCATACGTAGGATCTCTGGCTCGGCGAATTCGCGGAAATCGCGCTCGAAGACCGCGGAGGAGTACATTCGATAACAGTGACCAGGTCCCGTACGTCCAGCACGACCAGCACGCTGGCTTGCACTCGCTTTGCTGATCCAGCTGATCTCGAAACTTTGCACGCCTATCTTTTCGTCGTACTTGCGCTCCTTTGATCGCCCACAGTCAAAGACGTATCTGATTCCAGGGATCGTGAGAGACGTTTCAGCTACGTTAGTCGCCAAGATGACGAGTCGCGATCCATCGGGAGGTGGTTCGAAAACTCGCAGTTGTTCTTTGGTAGGGAGGAGAGAGTAAAGAGGTAAGACGTGCATCTTTGCCGGTCCGACCTCCTCTGCCTCGCCAATGTCAAACTCGGCATCATCGTTATCGTCGCCTTCAAAATCAACAGATTCATCATCCGAATCAAGTTCTTCTTCCATAAGACCACCAAAATCGACGTCTTCAGCTTCAGCCGGGGCATCTTGTCCAGAAATACGGACTTGCGGGCCTGAAGCCATGGTACCAATTTTGAAGGCCTCCTTTAACTTCTTACTCAAGTGCGTAATCTCCATTTGGCCAGTTAAAAACACTAAGAAGCCTCCAGGCGGAAGTTTCTTGTGGGCCTTGGATACCTTCTTAAACAGCTCCTCGACATAATCGTGGCGTGTCTGGCGAGCAAAATGGTTCGTGACAGTGAACTGTCTGCCCTCAGCCTGTACAACCGGGGGAGGTGTTGTGAAGAGGGTCTTGTTTTCCGTGAAATCTGTGATGCGTAATGTGGCCGACATAATAATGAGCTTCAACGGTTTGATGGAAGGATCTTCGAGTGCCATCTCATCTCGTAATCTGACTACTCGGCTCATCATCCCAATCAGGATATCCGTATTGACGCTGCGCTCGTGAGCCTCATCAATAACGACAGCTGAATACTTTCGGAGTGCAATATCCAGTGCAACCTCCCTGAGAAGAACACCGTCCGTCATGAACTTAATAGCCGTCTTCGGGCTCACTGTACCTTCAAAACGGATTTGGTAACCTACTCGGTCGCCATGGTCACCTAATTCGTCGCCCACGCGCTTTGCCATACTGACAGCAGCAACACGCCTGGGTTGCGTAACTCCGATCATACCAGGCGTGGGAGAATCGGGAGATCCATAGCCAGCTTCATACAAGAACTGCGGTACCTGCGTAGTCTTTCCCGAACCAGTTGCACCAAAGACGACGACAGTAGAGTTGTTATGTATGGCCTCCATAATTCTCTGCTCCTCTCCAACAACCGGAAGCTGCATCCTTGCTTCTTGAATTTCCGCCGACCGGTTGAATGAGACTGCAAATGCCTTTCGTGCGATGCTATTCGCAGTTTGGAGTTCTGCAGGTAAAGGATCCGACTCTAATGGGCGAGGTTGAAAGTTTTCGGGTCTAGGTGTGAGAGTGGCCAGTTGCGTCGTATTTGTAGGTTCGAACCCCATGGCTTCATTCCGTTGTTGGTTTGCCCATGACTTAAAGGCAGAAGATCTCTCCTTCTTGTTCTCGGTATTGTCTTCAGATTCACTATCGTCTGACGACTCCTCACTTCCATCTTCTCCATCAGACGTGGCTTCATCACCCCCCGATGTAGCCTCGTCATCTACTTTAGGCGAATCAAGTTCACTGCCACTCATGTCTGAGTCCATGTCCTCATCACCCTCTTCGCTATCTTCGAATGCCGAAAAGCCGGTCCAGGCAGGCTCAGCGGCCGCTGTAGGCATAGCTTTTGGTTCAGCCTTGAAGGAAAGCTTCGAGTTGACGCCGCCTCTTTTCTGTCGTTTCTGAATAACTGGTCTTCCCGAGTCATCCAACTCCAGTGGCCTCTTCAGTCCCGATCCAGCTGCAGCAGCAAATGGAGCTGGTTTTGTTTCGTTTGCCGTGCCCTCAGTAGTGGTTGTAGCCGCTCCCGACATCTCGTCGTCCTCGTCCTCCGCATCGCTGTCTCTGTCAACAGGGCCATCCTTCAGCGCCCGCTTTTCGAATAATATCTCGTCATTCTCCCCGTCCAAATCTATGCCTGCTGCAGCCTCTCTCAGCGCCCTTCCCATTCTTTGCCTTTTTGACTCCTTCCCTTGGCCCATCCTACTGGAGCTCGAATACAGACTCGTATCAGTCTTGTTCAACGCGAGGTTCTGAATCAAGATCCTGTTCTCATCTTTCTTCAGCTTCGTATCTATATATTTCTCCAACCGCTTCGCCTTCTTCCCGCTCATCTTCGCGCTCTCTTTCTTCAATTCTTCACGGAGCAACCGCTTCTTCTCTTCCAATTCAGCCTTCGCGGTGGGCATGATCTCGACCGTATTGCTGTCGGGGACGCCATCATTTTTCGACAACTCTTTAGTCCGCGCAATAACTTTATGCTTGCGCTGCCGGGGAACGAACTTCTTCATCTTGGCCGTGGGGACGAGGATCGTCTTGAAGAAAGTTGGATTCCTGGTCGCAGATGCCAATCCGTTATCAGTATCGCAAAGTCAATTATTATTTTCTGCCACCGCCTAGATGCCACCACACCGTATTTAGCGTCAAAGCTGGCTATTCTGCCACCGCCCTCACCTCCACACATGTACCCCGGCGGAGTAGGTCTGATAATAAACGGTGATGTTTACGCTCTACGGTATTGCGCAATTACAATGGCGGCAGAATCAACTTCTTTGGAGGCTGCGATCCAAGATATTTCTTTGGATGGAATTCAAGAAACATCTTTCCCAACACATTCAAAGACTGCTGCGGGGCTGGTTGGCGGGGCCGAGACGGACATCTCAAGCCTCGCTTTCTCTGACAAGATCTTGATTACAATATCCCAAGGAGGGCGATTATCACAATGGGTTTGTTGTCATAGATTTGTTTCCTTTGTGTGGACATTGAAACTAATACCGAGTAGATCCAAGTCCCTCTCTCGACCGCTTCGCCTACAGCGTTCGACACAGCACTACCTGCCGGGGGCGACGATTCGCTTCCTGCGCCTCACATAAACCCGAAAATCCTTCTCGGTGCGGGCGGTGAAGCAAGAGAAACTTTAGGGCACTTGATAGCGTCGCAGATTGCCAGTTTGGTGTTGAAGCGTGAGCCAGAGGAAGCTCGGACGATTCTCGTGGGAGTTGGGTTACTCAAGGTGGATTTAGACAGGTCGGCTTGGTTCGATCTTCTTGAGCTGCTCGCAAAGGTTGTTTGAGCTATGTCCGAGACAAGCATGCCTTATTTGAAAGAACTGGGGAGCTTCATCTGAGCACCCTAAAGGCTGCCTGTTCAGGCGATAATAGGCCACAAATGAAGGCAACGTCGAGAGTAGGAGTCATTAATTCTGGCAATGACGATCTCAAGAACGATGGCCACCGCCAAAAATGTCCCTGGAGCGAGCTACTTATTACGGGAGATAGTGGGCGAACCAACCCCATTTCAAATACCCATCTTCGGAGTAGCCGAGTTAAAAGCCGCGAAGTTGAGCGGTCGTATCAAATATCAAACTGTGAGCTTCCTCTTTTGGATATGTGCTACGTGACAAATCCTTATATCAACCAGCATCTCTGTGTGCATTCTGCAAGCAGGCATTTGTAATGGTTGAATATCATGTGTACAAATACAGTATATACTTATACAATGGTGTTAGTGGCTCTATAATACAGTAATGGGAACAGACTGAGGTCCGACGACGCTCCTGTCTCACAAACTCTACACCGGAACCTTCTCCTGCAATTCCGCCCAGGCCTCGTCGCTTACTTCGCCTTGGGATATGTTAACGTAGATTCCTTGAACACTTTGGTCTTCTTGGAGTGCGTTGACCAGGTTCTTCAGTGAAGAAAGGGCACTCTCAGAATCGAGTGGGACCATAGTATCCTCGTTCGGGTCCCATAGGATATCCGAGCTCTCTATCGTCAGCTTGAAACTTTCGGCCAAGGATCTTGCGGCTCCAATAGTTCCGCTGGGATCAGTCCAAACAATGAGGTTTCCATCATCGTCTACCTCAACATCGTCAGCGCCAGCTTCGATAGCTTCGTCCAGAACTTCATCCACCCCCAGCCCTCTCTCGTCCTTTTCAAATTGTACTCTTCCTCGGCGTTTAAACAAATAGCTCGTCGGAGTCACGGTTCCACCGTATCTCTTGACTTCATGCCGTAACTCTTGTAACGCGCGTGCTTTATTGTCTGTTTCGACATCAATAACTATTGCGATTGACGGCGGCATGATCGCTTCTATCGTTACAGACTCGAGCGAAGCGCCGGAAGCTGATTGGCCTTGTCCGCGGGCAATGGCAGCTTCTTGCGAAGCTTTAGGGAAGCCAGCTAACAGATAGTAAGCATGGTGCGGCAAAACGACGAGGAGGAGCATTGCCCCTTTATATACCTTTCTTTGCTTGGACTAAAACATTTGCTAGCGTTGGATTTGTTCGAGGATCGGCTCCGTACACTAGAAGGTAGTTAGAAATGGTTCTAGGTAGCAACGAAGTAGTTTGCATACATTTGGATGCTTGAGCTATATCACGAGAAAGCATAGATCTCAAGACATGCTTCTTCGCATCCACACCGGCCTTGTCGTGCTTGATTTTGCTCCATCTATTATGTCCCGACTGAAGGGTTCGGTATGTAGAGAACGTCGAACATTTTGGACAAACATAGTTTGCGAATTTATGCGATTTCCCGAGGAGTTGGAGCCCTCGCGGCGATAGAGAAGCCATGTGGTCTGGGGTTACAGTGAGGCTGAAATTATTCCAAGACAGTTCACGATACAAGGCTGTGGATCATCTAGGCTGTGGATCATCTAGGCTGTGATTCGCCAGCCCACTCTTTGGCCTCGCGAGGCCAGCCTTCAGGGAGCTTGGACAGCGGGACACCAGACACCCATTAATCAAACTGCACAATAAACTCTTGAAGGGATAACGATCTTAGATTTGGGGTGTGATTATTAAATATCACACAGCCCTATATGCCAATGTCGGGCGACACCCCCCCGCCCTCTACAAATGGCTCTGCCCCTACCACGACGGTGGAAGCCTCAGCAACTCCTGAACTCGACGTAACGAAACTCCAGGCCCTACCGTCGGAGCAGCAAGACTTATACCTCCTGACCTTTGTCTCGACACTTTCCAAGCATGTCCAGAGCCTTGATGCAGATGGCTGCACCTCCCAGCAATTCTACCTCAAGAAACAGCTCCTCCAAATACTCAACTTGCCAGCGCCAGCACCTACCCGAGTAATTCGAAATAGCCTGGGACGATGCTTTGCGCATATATTTGGGCTCGGAGATAGGAAGCTTCTGTTCGAAACTATCAACGAACTTATCAGCACTATTGGCGTCGGGAAGGGCAAGGCAGAAGGCGACCTGCGCATCAGCCATGCGGCATCGCACTGTTTAGGGGAGATATTTGCAGCGGCTGGGGACAGCGCAATTGGGCTACACCCACTTGCTTGCACAACTCTGATAAAGCTCCTGAAGGTGGCGCAGAATAATGCGGGATTGCGGGCTTCTACGTTTAAAGCTCTTGCTAAGATAACAAGCTGTGTTGGCAGGAGCGCGGACGAGGGCATCGCCAGGGACGTGTGGAAGCAAGCACGAAACTATGCCTCTGCGGATAAGGGTCATATTGTGCAAATCGCTGCATGCAAGTGTTTGGAATCACTATTACTGAATACCGCATACTTTGATTACTCGAGCGATTACGAAAGTCTGAAATCAACCATCTTGAAGACTATCGACTCTTCGACCCCTCTCGTACGCCAAGCTGCCGCTTCATGCCTGGCATCTGCTCTTGGAAAAAGCTATGTATTAGAAACGGCACAGGACTCTGAAGTTCCTCAGCTAAAGAAACTCAAGAGAAGCAATACCAAGAGACAAACGTCAATTCTTGCCGAAGATGACGACGAAGTACCACGGCCAGGAAGCCCAGCGCCCAAGAAGTCGCAGATACTGTCATTTACACTCTTGGACCTTCTCCGACAAGTTTCGTCGCATTACGTTCGGTCGTCAACTAGCAATAGAACACGGGCGGGCCTGGCTGTTTGCTATGGAAAGATTGCAAGAAGCCTCCCCAAGAAATTAATCGAGTCGAATTATATCAAAATAGCTGACCATCTGATGGGAGATGTCCTGAGCCACCCGAACATAATCAACAACAGGTATCGTCTCTTAATTACACGCAAATTTGTGCAAGTCGTACTTGAGAATATTATCGGACAAGAAATACTTGGCGAGTCCGGCCAGATTAACGGAGCTAAGAAGTTGATCAATGATGTCCTTAGAAACTATCCGCAAGTTATCAATGAGCGTTCTGAGCCCACAAAATATGCGCTCATTGCTGCTCTCAGCGCCATAACGTCATTTATTAAAACCTTGGGGTCCGCAGCAGCAGCATTTGGTGATGCATGCCGTGACGGCCTTCTGCAAGTTATTCAGCATCCAAGCTACACTGTTCAGCTTTATACTTCGCAATGCCTGCGAACTTTCGCTCTGGCATGCCCCCAACAATTATTGCCATGCCTCACTATTTGCATGAACAGCCTCAACAGGGAGATGAATCTATTAACGTCAAATACTGGGAGACAATCTCCTCGCCGCTGTATAGGCTATGCGAACGCTCTATCAGCTCTCATAAGTACATCACCTTTACAACCCCTGTATAGCTCGGTGGATGTGGACAGTAGAGTTCTGTCCCTGGCGACAGGACTCCTGAAGTCGAGTGGGAAATCGGAGCTTCGTGTATCCGGGACACAAATTCAAGTCGCCTGGATCTTGATAGGTGGTCTTATGTCCCTGGGGCCAAATTTCGTGAAGATCCACCTCTCTCAACTATTACTACTCTGGAAGAATGCTCTGCCGAAGCCACTGGCCAAAGACAACACTGCGCAGCGCAGCTACCTGGAGTCATCCTTTTTGACACATGTTAGAGAGTGTGCGCTGAGCTCTATCCTGGCCTTCTTACAATTTAACGGAAAACTCCTGACGACAGATGTCTCAAAACGGATTGCCGCTATGCTTCAGAATACGAGTGCTTTCCTAAAGGGTCTGCCTACGAAGAAAACTACCGAAGACGTACCTCAAAGATTATTCCCATCTTTGCAGTTACATGACCTCGATCTCATGACTCAACGACGCGTTCTGCAATGCTACACGAAGCTTGTTAATCTCAGCCCTGGAGGCAGCCAATCTATCCTTCAATCCAACCTTTTGACTCTTGCCGTCTCGTTCTTTTCGGACCCCGATAATTATACCCCGAGCTCACTTAGTACATCTATCGCAAGCTCAGCAGGCACCTTTGAAACAATATGGGATATTGGCGATAATTGTGGTTTTGGTGTCACTGGCATGGTCAAGGGATTCAAAGTTGAGCAGTTGCCAGGGGAGCATGTCAAGGAGGATCAACGAGAATGGACGACGGACCAGAGCCCAGAAGCAGCAATTAGCTCGGTGCTTTTATCACCAATTTGCAGTTCTTTAGAGCACGATTCTCTGGCGCTGTTTGTTGATTGCGTTGGGGATGACGATAGCCTACCTGATCCGCCAGCTTGCGAAGTCGTCAATATTGCCATTAAACTTTTTGCAATTGCCTTCCCGCTTACCTCCCCGAAGATTCAAGAGAGCATTCTGGAGCAGATGACGACCTTTTTAGCAGCCGGCTCGCTTCAGAGGGATCCTGGACGCAAGGTGGCGATGAATGTCAATGTTGCTACTGCATTACTATCAGCCCTAAAGGTGGCCGTGAAAGAGACAAGGTCTCCGTCAGGGGATGTATCAAACCCCGCCGTTGAGAAACTTCTCTCGGAAATGCTTCGCGGTTTCGTTACTCAGCCTGATCAATATGTCCGAAGCATCGGCTACGAGGCACTGGGAAGGCTCTGCAATAGCTCTGGGAATGCTTATACTAATCAAGAGATCAAATGGCTCATCGATACCATCGTTGCTATCCGCGAACCCACCGTGAGGGCTGGATGCGCAATGGCACTTGGTTGCATACATTCTCAAGTTGGTGGAATGGCAGCTGGATATCATTTGAAAACTATCCTGGGAATTCTGACGTCCCTTTGCAACGATCCACATCCCACGGTCCACTTTTGGTCTCTGGAAGCGTTGTCGCGCGTTGCAGATGCTGCTGGATTGACATTCTCTGGATATGTTCAGGGCACTCTTGGCATGCTCGGCCAGCTTTATATTTCTGACGCGCATAATGACGATCAACAATCCCTTATCAGCTCCAACTTGGAGCTCGAGCTACCCACGTCTGCTGTTGTTGCAAGATGCGTTGACTCTCTCATAAACGTTCTTGGCCCAGATTTGCAATATATGGTTAAAGCTAGAGAGCTGATCCTGACTCTGGTGTATCAATTCAGAGAAGAGCAAAGCGTCCTGATCCTGGGGGAAAGCTTGCGCTGCCTCGAGCACTTATCGTTGTACGCCCCTGGCCACGTCAACTTTGCAGAGTACGTTGTTCTCTTGCAGAAAGACCTGTACTCGGATGTTGTTGAGCTACGGGATATTGCGGTCGACGGTTTACATAACTTGATGAAGCGGAATTCGGAAGATGTAATTAAAGTCGCTGAGCCTGGCTTCGAAGACCAGCTGTGGCTAGCACTGGATGCTGCACCAACCCACGACGGTCTCCGAAATATCATCCGAAATTGGCTGCAGCAATCCTGCATTTCCAATACCGCCGAATGGATCCAGAGATGCCAGTCTGTCCTGGCCATGACCAAGACAACAAAGGACAGCGCCGCCGAGAGTACTGCAAAAGCATCAGCTGGGCTGGACCTCCAAGATGAAGAAGTTGCCGGCTTCGCAGCCGCTGCCGGTGCAGCAAGCCACGATGCCCCATCTGTTGCTGGCCAGGGACAAGAACAGCTCCGTTGGCAGGTTCGAACATTTGCAATGGGCTGCCTTGGAGAAATCCTTGTCTTCGTTATGCGGGACGTTGCATCAAATGGATCCGGGCCTTCTGAGATGGCCATACAGAAGAAGGTTGCTGATGTCATTCGAATGGCATTTTCGGCTTCAACATCTAGTATTCTCGAGCTCAGAGTTTGGGGTATGAAGATTATTGACTTGGTTCTCAAAATGTTCGGAATTACTCCTGATCCCGATTTCCCTGAAGCGCCGCTCTTAGAACAGTACCAAGCGCAGATCAGCTCCGCCCTTACGCCCGCGTTCGCCGCAGACTCTTCGCCGGAACTTGCCTCTGAAGCCGTTAACGTTTGCGCCGCCTTTATTGCGACTGGAATAGTCACAGATGTTGATCGGATGGGCCGTATCTTGAAGACTTTGGTCAGTGCGCTCGAAAATTTCTCTACGGATGCCGAAACCGCCTCAATTGGCGACTTGAAGGGGTTGAGCTCAAATGCGAATGTTATGGTAAAGATGGCTGTGTTCTCAGCCTGGGCGGGATTGCAGGTTGCCAGTATCGAGCAGAAATACCTCGTGGACGTTATGAAACCACATATCGCGAAACTAACTCCTCTGTGGCTGTCTTCTCTCAAGGAATTTGCCAGACTTCGCTTTGAGCCTGAGATTTCCATGAGCTTAGGCCCTCCTTCTCTTTCGGGCAGTCTGGACAGTATCTACTCTGCACTAAACAGAGAAACACTACTGAAATTCTACCAAGACTCGTGGCTGAAGCTTGTCGACGCAATTGCAAGCTTGATCGAGCAGGACAGCGAATTCGTTTTTGATGCTCTTGACGGTAAAGAAGTCGATGAACCATCCACCGATGAGAAGTCAGCCGTGAAGCGCAAAGGAAACGAGATCAACTATCGTGATGAACCAGTTGCGTTCTTTTTCGTATTGTTTGGTATTGCATTTGAAGCCTTGGTTGCCAAACCTGGCAACGATGCTCTAGCAACGAAAGAGCAATCTCTCGAAATTCTCGTTGCTTTGAAACGGATTTTGCACCCGAGCGTTTCTGGTCATGCGATTTATAGAGAAGCCATCTTCTCGGAGACAATGGACCTTCTTGATCGTCTTGTTCTCACGGAGGGATTGGATGTACAAAAAGTCATCGTTGAAATCGCTCGAGGGCTCTGTGTCTCGCATCCTTCAGGAACTAAAAACGCAACATCGCCAGATGGCAGCGATTTATCTGAGGACATTGAGCAGCTCTTCGAGTTGACACGCATAATAGTCCTTGTACTTGCTGGAATACTTCCAAGCCTGGCAAAACAGCAACAATCCAACCGATCGGCAAACCTCACGGAAGAGGCCGTGTCGCTGATCCGCCTTTCATTGAACGCCCTTGTGGACGCCGCTGAGGTTTTCCCGTCCATCATCAAAACAGATCTGCACGCCTGTATAATCCACATATTCGCAACCGTTCTCGGAACACCTAGCTACCAGACCGTTGTTGTTCCCACATCGCTACCGATCCTGAAACGGTTTATCAGCAGCATTTCCAAGGAAAATGCCATGAAGTCTGACGAAGCCAGCCAAGAGCAACTGAGAGGCTGCTTGAGACGATTCATGTCAATATACATGCACGCCCAAAAGCGAGAGTCTGACAATGCCCTTCCTTGTGTGAAGAACTCGCTATTGGCGTGTACTGTTCTCATGACGAGCGGTGTGAACACGTTGTCCGCCAGCGACCCCTTGGTCGTCAAGTTTCTAGACGAAACCTTGGACTGCCTAAACGATTGCATGGTAATACCTCCCACTCTATATGTATGAAATAAATTACTAACTGGGTTCTAGGCTGCTAAAGTGGCAGCGAATTGCATTCGCACCCTCCTACTTCAGACTCCCAAATCGGCAGCAGATCAATCTATTGCAAGATACCTTCTCCCACACCTCATCGCCTTCGTCTCCAATACAGAGACCGAAGACCCCGAGAAAGCACGATACTTAGTCGCGCAAACGCTCACAAGATATGTTGCTACCCTCCCAGACGATAAGAAGGGAATTGCGATGTCGCTGGTCATCCCAATGCTACTGGCAAGGGCCAACTCGGAAGGAGAGGGAGACGAATTTTACCAAGAGACCGGCGCCAGGTTGCTGGGTCTCGCGGCTGTAGACCCAGGAGGTTTCAAGGCCGTGGTTGCCGGGCTAAGTGAGAGCCACCGGGCGTTTATGGAAGAAGTCCTTAGAACCGGGCAGAAGACCGGCAGGAAGGTCGAGGTAGATACAGGGAAGGATGAGCCAAGTATTGCGCTCAGGATGAATTTCGGGGGTAATTAAACGACTGCAGATACATGTGTATACATAGAAATAAACAACATCCTGCTCCTCCTCAAACGTCACCCCACAAAACCACTTCTGCCACCCCCGCACCACCTCAATCGCCCCCGTGTAGAGGGCATAGAATGGCACGCCCACCCCAACAAAAATACCTAACGGGATAATATCAAGCATCAAATACTGCTTCTTCCCGCCGCCAACATACCAGCAGAGCAAACCCCACGATACGAATCCCGAGCTTGCAACCAGAACGAGGATGCCGTAGAAGCACCACCCGATAATACTCCAAGCGCCGAGCGGTGCGTTTGGCTCGACCTCGGGACAGTAGTTCAGGTGCTGGAAGCCGAAGAAGAGTGTGGCGAGCGCAAACACCTGAGCAGCAAAGAGGATCGTTCCGAGCACGAATGCAGATGCCGTATCTCTGGGATTCGGAAAGTCGACTACTGCCTTATCCGACGCTGGTTCGGCGGCAGATGGGGACGAGGCACGTGGTGCATATGGGGGCGGTCATTCTCAGATTCGTCGCTCTCTGGCTCTGTGCTTGATGTCGCAGCGGCGGCTGGGGCCTCTTTCTCTTTCGAAGAGGGCCTAGCAGTGTTTCGTAGCCAGACAGTCAGCGCTGAGATCGCGATTATGGTGACAATGACAGTAAGGGTGACGACGATGTCGGAGGCCGAGGAGAGGAAGCCCGCGCGCAGGCATTTGGCCGATGCGAGATGAGTGCTTTGGTGCACTGTAACCTTCCCCATTTTTTATTTGTTTGAGAACAAGTCTGTTTCTTTCAGGATGATGGGAGAGAGGGTATTTTGTCGTTATGCGCTGTTTTATGAGGCTGAGATGATGATTGTATCGTTCCACCCCTGTAGTTTGTGACGATGGAAGGATCGGCTTTGCTGCGCATCTCACCCTTTCTACATCAAATCAGGATTTAAGATGTTGAGGTATTTAACCCTTTCCTTTAACGGTAAATGAAAATTATACGCTGTAATTTGACCGTAATAAAAATTCTACCCTGTCGTAATTAATAAGTCACCACGTGACGCTCACCGTCCCCCACAGCCCTCCTCTCGCCATGAAGAGCGACAGCGACTACCTCCCTTACTCCTCCACCCTTTGCTGCCTGTAAGCACCCTATACCCCCCTATTAACCTCTCTGATGCCTCTATCACATATGAGGCCAGCAGCAGCTCCTAGCGTTGTGGTTTGAGGTGGCTTGACGAAGCCATCTTATGCCACAATGAGAGCGGCGGCTGGCGAATCAGCAGGACGAAGCTACGCCAGGACAGGTGAGTGTTGTACAATTATCACTTTGGAGAGCTGGCTGTAAGCCTCACGTGGTGGGTTAGTAATCACAACAGGGTATAATTTTCATTACGGTCAAATTACAGGGTATAATTTTCGTTTACCGATTAAATGCGCCTTACGTATGTACTATAATTGCGCAGTATTCGTCCTGGAGGTTGCCTGCCCAGCCATGCCGCCGCCATGGCGTTGTTTGTGAGCAAGGCGGTGGACCATGCCAAGCTCCTTGGAAGAGCAGTTGCCAATTGGCAACAAGGTCGCTATATCCACAATGTAGATCCCTGGACCGATATGGCGAACCCCAAGGATTTAGGAACGGAAATCTGACCGAACAATACCCACCAAGTGTCAGCTTATTATGGGGCTTCACCGTTTAGTAAGTAAGGAGTTTCCTCGTCGATATTATGTATTTAAGCAATGTCTTTCCTTCCTTCGCCTTACTTTACCGTCACCCAAAGGCAAAGGGCAACGAACGAAAGCTACGGTTGATAGAGCATCATGGCTGCCTCACATGAGACCCACCAGACCACCCTATCGTCTTCCTCAGGGTTGGACGATGACACCAAGGAAAAGCGGAGCTTGGGCGCCTATATCTACAATTCCTGGGTGCTGAATATCTACGACATCTGGGTCCTCGGCATTAGCAACAGCTATGCCTGGCGCTGTCCAACCTCGAGCATCCTGCTCCCCTTTTTCAAGGCCAATTTCTCGTCAAATCACTTGGATGTCGGCGTAGGAACGGGATACTTCCTTGCGAAGGCCGTTTTGGACCAGCCCACCACCCCAAGTGCCGACAGATACAACACTCAACAGATCACACTTGTTGATCTGAACCCTAACTGCCTATCCACTGCAGCAGCACGCATCAAAGCTGCGCAGCCCACACTCGCCCCGGCCCGGACCGTTGCAGCGGATGCATTCGAGACTTTACCTCTAAAGTCGAGCAATGGAAGCGTAGGAGATGAGGCAACGGGAAAAGAGAAGTTCGACTCGATCTCCCTGTTTTACTTGCTGCATTGTGTCCCAGGACCTTGTTCCGCCAAATCCCGTATCTTTGAGAATCTCAAAACGCACCTTACTGCGGATGGCACCTTGTATGGCGCAACTATCCTGGGCCAGGGTGGGAATGTCCACTTCAACTGGTTCGCGAGTGCTTTGATGGGTTCGTACAATAAGAAAGGGATTTTTTCAAATTCTGGGGACACGGAGAAGCTGTTTGTCGAGGCGCTGGAGAGGAACTTTGAAAAGGTGGAATCAAGAGTGGAGGGCTGTGTTTTGCTTTTCAAGGCTTCGAAGCCAATAGTATGAGATGACAGGAATGCAGGAGAGCTCGAGTAGATATCTAGAATATAGTGTAGCGAGAAACCCACCGTGCCGAGAAAATTGGGAGTGCCTTGCTACGATGCTAGAAATCGTCATCAACTCATTAAATGTGACAAACTATATCTGTATGATGGAGATATCAGGCTTCGGCATCTTGCAGAGGGGTATATTCCTGTGCTTAATAGCTGGATCTGGGAGATGGGTGATCATGCGAGCCAAGCTGCATGTTTGGGTCGTCTGTTATGTCACCTCCTTATGAGCACACAGCTATGGAACCAAGCAGCGAGAACCTATTATGGTACTCCTGGATACTCGCCGAGAGTATTAGGCGCCCATCCATGCCTCCCGCGAGTATCCAGTCGATCTATTTGATACTACATTGGGATGGAACCGCTTCCTGCTATGGTAGTATGACCTTCACGACCAGGCAAGGAGCGGTGGGACGCCGACTCAGCCTAGGAGTGGGAGAAAATGTGTTCGGAGCAGGGTTAGAAAATCAATTATAATCACGATTAGTTATTTATAAAGCGTATAAGTCAACGTAGTTCACAAGCGACCCGCCATCCCAAGCAACCCGTCATATTTTTCTTAGCATCGTACATTTGACTTTATATCTAAATAACTTTTTTTTTAAACATGACACATTCGTACGAAGGAAGAAATATGATTCTTGCACTTCAAGTGCTTCAAACGAATCCACAATTACAACTTAGTCGCGTTGCTCAAATCTACAGAGTTCCTCGTACGACATTGAACGATCGAAGAGCTGGAATTGTTGCAAAGTATAATCTAATCTATACTGTCTTATGGCCAACCCCTGCTGCTTCGTTGGATCTTACGTGCTAGAATTGATTGGCTATTAAACGTCAAAATTTGTGATTGGTTGCGTTAGCCTAGAACCCACTTATTGCCTTACGGGGTCTAATGTGTATGAGAATTTTTCACCTACGGCCCTAGACCCGTAGCGGTCCGTAACCCCTGTCCGTAACTCCTTACTTTGCGTGTAGTTCTATCTGTAGTTGTAGCTGTGTTCTGTGTTGCTTTTGAAGATATAGGCCTGCTATATAGGTGCTTGCGATGAGTTCTTCGCTCCCTATTCGGTGTACGTATTGCCACGCCTTCCGCGAGGCGTCACTCTTCCGTACAAATCGGCTCGGAAGACGCTACGGGACCTGTTCTACGTGCGCTTCTACCCGTACTTTTTGCCGTACCCAACGGAGGGTCTCGCCACGTATTATAGCACCCGTTGCGGGTAGCATACCGCCTTTTACGGCGTTACGGACGCTATTCAACCGCAAGCGCAAAGGCGTCGTCGTGGTCGGCCGCCACGACAGCCACAACTTATATTACCACACCCTACGCAGTCTAAAGTTATTGAGGATCCCGTTGCAGTCCGTCACTCTAAGCCGCCTGGCTTTCTCTCTTCCTTTATACAGGCTACTCCGCATAACCTTGGTCAGCTTAACCGTGAGTGTGAATATTGCGCTGCCCTGCACTGGGTAGAAGAGACTACACAGGATAAGCAGTATGAGATATGCTGCAAGGAAGGAGATGTAGACCTTCTGACGTTACGGATGCCCCCCTTATATTTACAGAAGCTATTTACGGACCAGGACCCAAGAGGGAGGGCCTTCCATAAGGAGATCCGCGAATATAACAATGCCTTGGCTTTTACTTCCGTAAGCTATTGTAAGGCGGCCCTCACGTGAGGGCACGTGAGGTGTCACGCTCTTACAGTGGACCTGGCGGGCTCGGTAAATTAGGGCCTACGGGTTCCTGTATATAAGGGGCTGGAGGCTCGGAGTGATGCCTCCATGTAATGGTGGGTGCACCAGATGTGAGAATCTAGCCACCCAAGGAAGGGATGAATTTACTAAGACAACACACTGTCTTAGAAAACAGAGCCAAAGGGTCGTAGCTTAGACTATTCCACAACGCAGCAATCAGGTGTGTGATGTAGTGAAGTGGTTCAGACAAGTTGCAACAAATGTTGAGTCTGGGAACTCAGGGGTAAGTCAGAGGTTAACACCTCACTGACTTTTCAGAAACAAGGAGTAACAAGATGAATGCTTGGAAGCTAGAAAAGACGTGGAAGTATGTGATAGTCGATTTACTGTATTGTCTGCTTGCCCTTTCTTAAGGAAAGGGCAATCCTATTTATGCTAAAGGAGTGTAGTTCTCTCATTTTCCAAGACTTTCCATGACTTACCAGGCTTGGTAACTGTAGTCGACGTAAGAGAATCCCATAGAACCATCTCTTAGGTTCGTAGCCTATAGGAAGTAAAAGGAGGTCCAAGGTCAGAGTACCCCTATAGACAAATTATGTCATAGACAAATTATGTCATAACTTAACCAATCTTGTGGGTAACTAAAGAGCGATGACATGTAATGAATCATAGAGGTTCGTAGGAGCTTTTAGAGCTATCGTTAATGCTCCTAGGCCTCTAGTTGGTAGAGATATGTGATGTGGTAGTATGAGTGATGTCATGTAATGAATCATAGAGGGTTGTAGAGATATGCTATGTGGTAATATCGGCCCAGTAACTAAGGAGCGATGACGTGTAATGAATCATAGATGGTTGTAGCAATCGTTGAGTAGTATTGCTCTTGTTGTTGGTGTGATAGGCCAAAATATGTATAGTGACTTGTAGGTTTGAGGAGGAGATTTCCAAGTTTGCTCTTGAGTTTGATAGCAAACTGAGTGCAACGAATGTCAGTATGACACTCCAGTCAATAGTCGCTGTATCAGCGTAGACCTATTGTGCTTCACACCAATATAACCCTTACTTCCTGCCTCCTGACCTGATTCCCTGAACTCCCGTGACACCCTGGGCCCTACGCCTTTACAATTCTATTGACTCAACCTATATTCAGCCTACCAGATTAGGATGGCAAGCCAGGAAAAGAGGATTACCCGGGCGACCTCCGAAGGAGCGACACCCTCGACGGAACCAACAGAACCTGCCCCGAGGCCTATAGCACAGGAAGCTGACAGCCCAAGAGAGGAGATGGCCTCGAAGCTGGCTAGCCTCCGGAGACGAATAGATGAGGAAAAGTCCTACTTCAACACCATGGAAGAGGCCCTCCAAGTATTCTGACAGTCGCACGGCGAAGACTATAGCGCCTACCCTGAAGAAGTGAGGCTCTTCACGGAAAGGCAGGCCCGGATACGAGAGGAAAGCCGGAAGAGGCGACACCAGGACAGCGAGGAAGAGTGGGAGAATCCTCCGGACGAGGAAGCCCAGGGAACAGCCTCTACTCTGTCGACAGAGACGACGCCAGCCCACAGACCCTTCGGAAGGGTCAAGGACCCCAAGGTCTACAAGGGCGAGTCGGCTAGGGAGCTCAACGAATTCATGGCCTCAATCTGCACCTCCTTCCGGTACCAGCCTAGGATGTTTCCGACCGAACAATCCAAGGTGGCCTTCGCAGCCCAATACCTCGAGGGCGACCCTATGAAGGAATGGGACAACCGCTGCGCCTCCCAGGATGAGGGCTTCGCAGACCCCTTGGATATCGCTGGGTTCGAGGAGTTCCTCCGCGACCTCCACGTTGACCCAGCCAACCGACAGCGTATTGCGGCCCTTACGTATAACGGTGCCCACCAGCGCAAGGGACAGGGTATCCGTAAGTTCGTCACGTACCTTGAGGAATTGGAACGGGAAATGGAACCATATACCGAGTCCCAAAGGACCACCCACCTCCTGACGAAGATCCACCCAGATATGAGGCAGCGGCTCCTTGAGGGAGGGTACGCCGAGCGTTCCTCCACCCACAGGGAGGCTGTCGTCAATATCCTAGCGATGCTGGAAATGACCAACCGTTGGGTCACAGAGAAGGCTCCTACCTCAGACAAGCCTAAGGAGGGAAGAAGCTCCCCTCAGGGCAACTTCCCGAACTGAAGGGGCAGTTTCAGCAGCAACCGGGGATCTCGGTCCACCACCCCAGGAGAGAGAACCCTTCCCTGGAACATGTTACGATATCAAGTGCACCTTGCAGCTCGAGTGGGGGTTCAGGGGTGTGGGGAGCTTTCTGGGGTTGGAGTGAAGTTTTCAGTTGTGGAGTGAATTCTCAGAACTGGTCTCACTAAAGAGAATTCACTCCACAATAGCTGTATATAGATCGAGCCACTGCTCGAGTGCTCCTCTTCTCTTTCCTTTCTTCTCTAGATTGAGTTTAATTCATAATACCCAACTGGCGCCCTATGCCTTGGTGAACCGTGACATAAAACTCAATCTCTCTTATACCTCTTTTCCTGCTCTTTGAGCTGAACCCTCTTCTGAAATCGAAATCGAAATCCACTCTTTGAAAACCCCAGAACCAGAAACCTTATCCGGAAGTCGATTCCAGGACGATCTCGAGGCAACCCCTCAAAGTTGGCTTTCGACAGTCAGCTCGACACACACACACCACCTTCGCAAGTCAGACCTTTTACAACGCTCCCTCGACAAGGATATAACTGTGAGGGAAGTGCGCTCCTCTCGAGTGGCTCCTACGGCCAACAACTGCACAATAGGGCCTTTGGCAATATGTGTCTGACTTGACGATATAAACCGAAATTGAAATAGCAACTCGCTATGGCTTATACTGCTGAAGAAAAAGCTGCAATGGCAGCTCGAAATGATCCAGAACAAGACCAGGAATCCCTGGCAGAAGGAGCATCAATTCCAAGCTCTGCAAACCAAACCAATGAACTTCATGATCCTAATTTCAAATCCGAAACCTTCCTTCATACTCTGGGCAAAACAGCTCAAGAGAGACATGAATCTATACTTGCAAATCGACATGAAAAGGCTGAATGGAATGTTGAAACCTTTGACGAATTCCAGAAACTATCTGTTGCCAACCAGAAAATGGCATGGACTTTGCACAAGAACATTCTTCGGGACTATTTGGCCCTAGCAGAGGACTCAAATTCGATACTGGCTGAAAAGGATGATGCCATTCTCCAGTTACAGGAACTGATCCAGAGCAACGAGCAACAA